TAACCTCCAGGCAGGAATGAGTTAACGTCTGCCCGGCCTGGGAACGCCGCGGAGGCCTGGGCTCCAGCACGTCTCGCCCGCTTGGGGCACAGCCCGGGAAGGAGGAGGGAAGGGGCGCTGCGCGGGCCAGGCAGTGCGCGTCCCCGGAGCCGTGCTGTCCCCTGGAGGACCTTCGGAAAAGAACCCAGGGCCGGGGCGGGGGCGCCAAAGCCCGGGGCCCGCCCCGGAAGGTGCCCAGAAGGACCTGCCTAGGAGGAGAGCCCTACTCGGGGTCGGGACGGATATGCCCTCCTGGTCCCCTCCACCCCAGCCTCATCTCCACTCGCCGCTGCTCCTCCAGACTCCTTTCCACTCTCCCTCTGGTGTTCCCCATCTGCACAGGACAGCCGCTTCCTTCAGCTCCATTTAAGATTTTTCACCATTGCAGTCCGTTCCAAATTGTTACCTAATCCTGTGCATTTTTAACCTGCGAGCTTTGTGACTCTGCCTCTGAAGGGACAAAGAAGGGCACCTCCTGTGTGCCCAGCACTGAGCTAGGTGCTTCATTTCATCTTCAGAACACAAAGCTTACACAGTATCATGACTATCTTTCAAAGGAGGAAATTCTGGTACAGAAGATGAAGTACTTTGCCTTAAAGAACAGAGCAGGCCTTAGCAGGGAGTCCCCTTCTACCGCCCACACTTAACGCTGCTGTCAGTGAGTTCTGTAAACCGAGGGCTGATGGGACTCTTCTACCCTACACAAGTCAAGTTCCCCAAGCAAGGCCCTTCCTGATTCAGTCCCTGTCTTGTCTCCCTTGCTCTCCTGCCACAGTGAGAATACTCACTGGGTTTCTCAATTTCCCTAACAAGACATGCTCCAGAGTCCAGACTTTATGGTCCTTTATTTACTCTCTTTCATGACACAAAGAAGGCTCCTTCTTGCTCCCTTAGAATTAGCTACCTCATTTTTTCCCAAACAAGACATTAACTTCCTCACTTTCCCACTCCCTACTCCCCATTGCAAGTGGCCCTCCACTTGTGATTCTCACCAGCATTTATTCATTTGTTTCTATTTATCTCTCTACAGGGCAGCTCCTCTGTGCCAGACCAGAGTCAGGTGCTGGGGATAGTGGAGACAATATGCCATAGCCCTAACCTTTGGGAATTCACAGTCAGAATCCAGTAGGAAAGAGAGGGTAAATGGTGATATCAGCACTCAGGGCCTGGATGCCAGGAGCCCTCCTGTGGGTACATCCTATAGATCAGGGTACAGGGGACCTTCCTCCAGCTTGGGAAAATCCCTGCTAAAGAGCCCCTAGGTTTACTGAGCAAGGACAGGCAGAGGAAGGTAGGGTACAAGCCAGCCTGAGACTTGCCCTGGGACTTTGGGAAGCAGGCCTAACACTGGCTAGGAAAGAGGGAATCATAGGGCTGAGTCCTCATCCCAGTAAGAGGGTCGTAGGCACTGAAAAGAATGGAGACCAGAAGGATGGAACAAATAGCCATTGAGCTCAGCCACCGGCAGACCCTGTGCTGGCCACTCTGCTGCCTCACCTATCCTTTCCTTGCCTCCAGTTACCCTGCTTCAGCTGAGGAAATCAAAGACCAGACAGGTTGATGCAGTAGCTCTGTCCAAAGCCCACTGCATTTTTGATATAGCTGCCCGTCCTCCAGCTTAAGCCAGACCAAGACTCTTAGAGAAATAAGCTTCTACTTCTAAATCATCTTCCCTCACCTCGAGCCTGAAAATCCCCGGAAGCATCCTTTTTCTAAGAGCTAGGAGGCTCCAACCCTGCCTGGCACTGCCCACCTGTCTTCTCCAGTGCCAGAGACACGCTTTATAGGTCTGGTCCACAACTGGGGGAAGGAAGGCCTCACTGACCACCTTCCTTCTGGGGATGTGACCTTAAGGCTAACTGTTGAAGCCCATGCCAAGTCTGACAGCCTCTCGCTCTGCTTCTCACCTGGCTGGTAGACAGAAGGCCGAATGCTGGCAGTGGTGACGACCCGGGGCTTGGGCGCAGGGGCGGCTTGGGTCTCACTGTATGTATGGGCGGCAGGTGCTGGAGAGGTCACATTGGTGGGACTGTAGGCAGAAGCCTGGGGCCTGGAAACAAGGGGAAGAGTTAGAAGCCAGAAGGACAGCCCCACCCAGGCCCTGGGGCCTGAAGCCATGGCAGGTTGGCTCTGCAATCCTCAGGAGCCTCTGTGAGGAGGAAACCTAACAGAGATGATCCTGAACAGCTGCCAGAGGCTGTGAAGGAAAGCTCCTTGGAATCTTAAAGGGGAGGAAGCTGCTCCTTGCTTTCTGAGTCTTGGTGAGTTTGGTTAAAGCAGCAGAGATATCTCAAAAATCACAGCCCATTGCTGATGTCACCACCTTGGAGAGAGGGAGGAAAGCTACCAGCTGGACAGGAGGATGCATGGAAAACCCTTCACTACCATGGGAAGAGACCGTAAGGGTAGGTCTGGGACTGGAGGAGTCAGGGCAGAAGAGAGAAGAAGGTGGTCAGAGCTGCCCCACTCCACTGACCTTCTGACCTCTGGGGCACATCATGGCCTCAGACCACCTGGCTCCCCGCCTACTTCTGCCTCCCCCTTTCTATTGTTGCTAAAAGTAGCTGCAAAGTCTCAGGTTTCTGAGCTAGAGTGCTCTAGGGAGGGCTCATGGGAAGCTAGGAGAGTCCCCTCCAACACGCACGCGTGGCGCGCACACACACACACACACACACACACACACATACACACACACACTTCTCTTACATATAGAATTCTTCCTGTTGCCCTCTTCCCACTGGATTAGCTGCCAAGAGGCCTAGAGCAATCTTTTCCTACTTGTGACCGAGGAACCAAAGAGATGGAAAAAAAGTCTCCCAGTTCATTGCCCTCAGGAAATGCTGTACTCGGCCTCTGCTCTTGGAGAGCTAAAGGCTCCAAGAACTCCTGGAGTTAAGCAGAATGTTAAACTTTGCTGATCCAGTGTTTCTCAATTTCATTTGTCTGTGAAACCTTTTTTTTTTTTTTTTCCATTTAAAACTAGTGAACATGTCCCTGGTCTCTCCCTGCATCTTTCAGATCCCAACAGGGACAATGCAACCATACCCAGAGTAAATGGGTCATTGATGAGGTGCTAGAGAAGTGAGCACCTAGAAATTTACTGACCCTCACCAGCCCATGGCTTCCTGCCTTCCTTGCCTCTGTTTCCCATGGGCCCAGTGCCTGTGCATCATGCTGAGCAGAGTCATAGAATAAGGGAGTATCTTCCTCTTTAGGGCTCTGGGAGGGGGTAGCCTGGAGCTAAGAATCTATTGTCAAGCTCCTATTTACTGTTTATCTCCTCAGAAAGACAGTGTGGAGGTGGAACGAGCCTCAGCCAGTCAGCATCCCAGACCTGGGCAGTGTGCAGACTTGCCCTGGCACGTTGCCATGTTTCTGGTTAAATGAGGCCGTTGTCACCCTTCCCTAGGCCTGCCTGCCCTTCTCTGATAAATCCCTGTTAAGACCAGTGGAGTAGGAGCCTCAATGGAAGAGGAAGAGGCAGTGTCCATGGGGTCCCCAGCTTCCTCTGTGGTGAGAGAAGGCCTAGTCGGTAGCCAGACTTTCCCACCAGTGGAGGGTGTTTTCCCAGCATCCCAGGAGCTATGGGTCCTGGGTCAGGAACTGATATTGGGGGAGGAAGCAGAAGCTTAAGATATCCAGCAAGAATTCTAAGGCCATGCTCCGGTAAAAGGCTGGGTGGCCATTTGTCTTCCACTTGCCCCCTCTAGCTCCATCCTAGCCCTATGCAAGAAAGGGAGGTATCTAGGCCCAGAGTATGGTCCCTTGATCCCTTCTGCTCCAGCCTGATGCTGGGAGTGCTCTGGTTCCCCAACCTCCACCCAGGCCTCATCTCTCTTTGCAGGGCAAAGTGAAGGAAAGGTTTACCCTGTTGAGGGAGTCCCATGGGCCTCAGGACACAGACACCTGATGTGTGATGAGGGAGTCTGCTCTTGGGCAGGACCCCAGCATGTAGCACTCCCCCATCCAAACCCAGGAGGCATCTTCCCACTCAGCAACGGAGAAATTTCTTATCCTCCTCTAAGCTTCTTCTTTGTGCCTTTACCTGAAGTGATTCTGGTGTGCAGAGGAGAAGCACTTGCTAAGTGCCCCCAAGGAAGCTGAGCTAGAACGACCCCTGGGGGCTGGCCTGGCTCACCCTTGAAGCCTAAGTTGGGCTGGCTCCGTACCATCTGGATCATTGTGTAGCCCCAGGAGTAGGGGTGCAGCCAGCAGGTCTGTGGGTCACTCTGTTCACCCTTCGTACCCCTCAGGCTTCACCAGGGACCCATGCATCCTGACTCAGAGAGGTATGTCCTTTGGCAAAACCCTGGGAGAGGAGCATGGGAGACTGAGAAAGCTGGCTCTGACCCTAATACCAACTTGACGGCTCGTCTCAGCCCGGAAAGAGCTGGGTCTGCTGGGCCTGTTATACTGCCTGGCCACTCCAGAATGACCTGTCAGCTTATCCCCTCCACTTCCCTGCACCTCCCAGCACCCCTCTAACACCCCCAACCCTGCTTTCGCTGAGTATGCAGGAAGGCAAGTTGGAAAGCAGTAACTTGCAATACTTGAGAGCATTTTATGTGCTAGGTGTTTTATGTACACTTTTTCTACCCCAATCCTGTAAAATAAACATTGCATTAAATATCATAGCAGATGAGGAAAATGAGATTCAGAGTTTAGTCACTTTCTGAAGATTATAGGCAGTAAGTAGTAAAGCAGAGATTCAAATCCCACTGTACCAAGTGCCTCTGGAATTAGCATGCTTCTCCATCAAGAGGAGAAAGGCTAAGGGACAAGGGAAAATTAGTCACTAAATATCTGACATGCCTCTGTGCCCAGGTCAATGCTCCCTTTTCCGTGGAGACTTCCTTGACTTTCCACGGGGATATCTTTAATTCTCCTTAATTCCAGTTCCAGGAACACAGACTTCCCATACAGTCTCCCTTTGTTATCTAACTCTGTGTGTGTGTGTGTGTGTGTGTGTGTTGGTGTGTGTGTGTGTGTGTGTGTGTGTGTGTGTCTTTTACCTCTCTTGCTAGAGTGTGTGTCCCTGGAGGGCAGGGTAGCACATTTTCCTGCCTTTGTCTTCAGCAACACAGTGCACTCCTCTTCACTCTCTGCAGCAAGCAGTGCTACCCTTGGCCTACCTTGGCGCCCTGGGCCCCTAACCACATTGGATGGGCCTTTCTGAGGGCTAGACACAGCTGTCAACAGATGGACCCAGGGTAAGGCCTTTCCTGCCTCCCCGACTAAGCCAGGGCCAGTATCTGTGGGCCAGTTACCTTGGACTGTCTGCAGCACTTGAGGCAGGGGCTGTAGCAGAGGCGGTGGCAGCAAGGGCAGCAGCTGCGGCCAGGGACGGTGAGGCTGTGCTGGGAGAGGCAGCAACAGGCAGCTGAGCAGAAGCAGGCAGCAGTGGGGTGGTGGCCTGGCTGGTGCACACTGGAGCATGCTCAATAGGGGTGCTGATGAGGTGGGACCAAGAAAGACAACAGGTCAAGGGGGCCCCTCTGCAGGACTGGGGCGCAGTGGCTGCAGTAAAGGCAGGCTGGGTAGAAGGCACCATCAGTACTACAAACAGCAAGGTGTATTCCAGAAGGTGTATTCCCAGGCTCAGGGAAAGAATACCCCCAAGACTCCAAGAGGAAAGGGTTCAGACCATAAGGAGGATAGTAGCAATACCAAAATTATTCTCAAGCCTGGTGAGATTCCCAACTCTCAGTTTTGTGTACTTCTGAATTTTTCTGAGTATGTATTACAAAAATATAGTGTGGTGGAAAAGTAGATTGAATTATCAACCAAGCTTCCTCCCCATCCTATTTTCCTTTTTCTTTTCCCTTTCCCCATTTAGTCAGTGGCACACATTGCCTTTGAGAAGGGGTGATACATTGAGAAAAGCAGAGGTCAGATATTTGAGGGTCAAGGGCTTAGGCTCTGGAGTGGTGAAAGCCTGGGCTTTGGGCTGCAAAGGACTCAGGCAGGGCACTGACAACACATTTGGAAGATGTATGAAAGCTACCATGCCAGGCAGATTGAGGTTATCTGGGCCAGAAAGGGGGCATCGTGCTGTGGGGGATTCAAGAACAGAGGCAGCTGTGCTCCTTTTCTGAAGTCCAGAAAGACTGAATCTCTTGTTTGGGTAAACCCTGGGGAGATAGTAGGCCCCTAGGGTCTCCTATGCCCATGGTGAAGGGGGAGGTTGATCCACGACAGCCCAAAGATCCCCAGGCTATCGTATGCCCTAGCTGCTGTAGAGGGTTTCTCATACATCCAAGAGTGACCTGGCCATGGCCCTGAGTGTCTGCACATCTGAAAGTCCTTGAAATTGGGAACAAGAGAGGTGACTTCTGTGCCAGTGTGGGCCAGTGTGACCAAACAGGGTGGGGATATCCCCGCAGATGCCACTGCAGGCAGACTATGTCAAGGACCAGGTGCCTGGATGCCCCACTCTGCCTATACTGTTATTCTATGAGCATCTCTTCCCCAGAACCAATCTAGGCAAGACAGGAGCATCAGAGCCTGGATTGATGAGATTAGATTTTTGCCACCTATGAAACAGGACAGAGAATACAAATTAAATTATAGGAAAGAAAAGAAATGCACATTCTTTGCTCATCTGGGTCACTGAATTAAGATTTGTACTTGCTACAGCAGCAATAAGATACTGTGACTCTTATAAGTGGGAATGCTGTCCCCAGGCTATGTAATTCATTTATTGACCTGGTACTCTATGTGCCAGGCATATGTCTGTAGTTCCTCACAACTGCCCTCTGATGTAGATATTAGTGACTCTATTTAATAGATGAGGGAATGGGGACGGAGGATTCAATTGCTCAAGTACTTAGAACGTATAGGTAGTGACAGCAAGATCTGACTGAGGAGCATTTGAATTGAAGCTTTACCCAGTACCTCAAGTGGCCCCTTATGGAGAAAAAAAAACCTTATTTTTACAGTCAGGCAAGTAAAATTTTTTTCCCCAACAAAAGGCACTCTTCTTATTTGAAATAATTAGAATAATAATCTTTCCTCTGTGAGTGCTTACCATATGCCAGGCCTTGTGCTAAT